TGTGAGATCCATGATAAAATAGAGTAGTGAGGACACGAGAAAATGTTAATAATTTGGAGGATAAATAGCTATTTATATTATTTCAAGTATTATTGAGGAAATTCTTTAGGTAAACTGCATTTAACTCCCTTTACTTGAGTGTTTTATAGTAAATCTCTCTTTTAAATTTTTTGGCAACCTCTCGAGTAATTGAGGTTTTTTTTTTTATATTTTAAATACCCCCACTAGCACCAAGTCAATGTATGTGTGACAAAATTTAACGTTAACACGACTTGAACACAACACAGGATAAATGAGTTTGAGTTTAGGTTTGGGTTTGGCTTAATTGTGTTAATGTCATAATCGTGTTGACCTGAATTAACATGGTATTTTAAACGTGTTCGTGTTTGACCTGTTAACCCATTTATAACACGATTAACCCGTTTAAGTAAGCATATCATGTTTATATTAAAAATGAGCCGTTTAGCTAAATGTGTCGTGTTCGTAGCAGAAATGACTTAAAAGTGTTTTGTCGTATCCTTTTGTGTCATATCGTGTCTAAACCCATTTATTAAGCAGGTTACCCGTATCGTGTCGTATTACCCGCGTAATAATTGTGTTGTGTTCGCGTTAGGGTTTCTTGACGCGGATAATAATTGTGGCGTGTTCATGTCCGCCTACATAATACAATACTCATACTCTAACACGACACAAAAACAAATTGCTAATCTTGAGTCAAGGGAAATTTTATGTACTTCAACAAAGTGTGTAAATTTAGCTAAACAATTTTTTTTTTTTTTTTTTTTTAAACTTGTATTTTTTGTTATATGCATAACCATACTTTTAATTAAAGAAAAACATGAGAAGGAAAAAAAAAAAAAATTATAGTTATGAATGTAACTACACATAAGCTCAAATGTTATATGTTTACTCATATTACATATTATATGTACAGTTATTATATTATACATTATTCTATTTTTTATTTTATACAATTTGTATATATATAAGTATATGGAACATTTGATCAAACAATTGAATTGCCAAAAATAAATTTTAATTACAAAAAGTAGTTTGAATGACATAAAAATGAGGCTTTTATCTCATTTAATTTGGTTGAATAGAAAAAAAAATGAGAAAAAAATTGATATTGTAAGATTTAACTGTGATAGACAAATTTTAAAGAAATAACATGTAGTTGGACTCATAATTATGAATTATAATTTTATATATATATATATATATATATATATATATATATATCATTTTAATTAAATATATAGTGATGTATGTAACAGAAAATATAAGTTCAAATATAATTATTTAAGATAAAAAGAAAAATAAAATTATTTAGCTAAATTCAAACAATTGAAATCCTGGACTTGGTGCGGGTATTTTAGTAAAAGTAATCCCCTTTGTTATTTGAGGGGTTTTGCCAATAAATAAATAAATATGTATATGTGTGTGTGTATATATATATATATATATTTAAATGGAGTTTACTGCAAGATGTTACAAGTGAAGAGAGATGAAATGCAGTTTACCCAAATTTTTTAGATTAAATTGATAAAAAAAATTTAATATTGGATAAATTAGTTAAAAAAAGGTGACCCAAATTTGGCCGCTTTATGTAACCATCATCTCCTCCACATTGTATGGTATTGTTTGTTTTGAACCCGAGCCTACACAATTTAATTTTTGAATTTTATTTTAAAAGGCCTCAGACCATTTGAAGTGTACCAATATTACATATATAACATTTTTCCTTTCCATACGCAGGTGATGTGGGATTGTTGACTCATACCTTGCCAGTGCCTCGCACTCACCTATATACACCCACCCACAAAGGTTGCCACGATCCACCACCTAAGAGGCTTGACGTCTTCATCGGTATACTTTCGGCTAGATCAGACTCTGATATTATTTGTAATAACTAACTCCACCACATAGTGTGGTATTGTACGATTTGGGTCAAGACCACACGATTTTGTTCTTGTATTTTACACCAAAATGCATTATATCACTTGACTAATAGAATCAACGCAAATCACTTATATTGACAATTTCGTTGTTGGATACAATATAATAGCAAATGAATAAGTAACTTTCGCCCCATAGCTCAAAATTTGTGGTCTGGCATAGTTTTTCAAAATCCCATTTTTAATTGAAAAACAAAATTCCGCCATCTTCACCTCTCTCGTTTGTGCACACACAATCAAGTCTCGCCCGACCATTATTATGGATATTGCGTGACGACAGGCATGGGCTTAACATATTTACACTTTTTGATGTTATCATTTAAATCCTTCCCCAAATTAATCTCTTCAAATGAGCATAAGGGTGGAGGTACATATGCTTGAGCCACTGATATTTTGCAAGTATGTCCTCATACGCATAAAAATTGATGCCTTCTTGACCACCAGTGTCATCAACAACCTGTAACTCCTTAGATTTCTCTGTAATATCAAAAGGGTTTGCGTTTAAGATTAGACCACGGCCATGAGCTCGACCCCTGCTCGGGCCTGTTCGACCAAGCTCGTGATAACAATAGCGGTTTATGAATTGGGATCCAAATGAAGAAAATGACATAATCATAAAGTCAGATGTTGCGGCAGTGAAGCCATTGCAATTTCTTTGGCGAGGAGGAACATAAGAAGGGCGAGTGGGACGAGTTAGTCTTGTGGTATAACTTTAAGGGAAAAGTAATAAAATCAGGACGTGTTTTGATTGAACATTGGGACTTCGTTTGAGGGTATAATGGTCATTAAGTAGGGTAAAAAGGTACTTTGGTCATATAATAGTTATTAAGTTCACACATGACATGTATGTGCTTGTCTTCCGTTATTTTCTGAGAGCAACTAAATCGGGTGATATAATAGATTTTTAAAAACTAATGGTGTTTTTCGATATTGTTTTTTAGCATATGGATATACCCGTTTTGGGATAGTATAGTCAAACATAAAAAATGCCCAAAATTCATTCCCGTAAAATTGTTTGCGTGCACTATTTTTATTTATTTATTTTTAATAATTTAAATCCAAAAATATACATTTTATTTCAAAGATTAATACTTAAAATTAAATAGGGGGCAACAATAACCACATGGACCATCATCATTATATTTTTTCCTGGGTAGGCATTCAGACCAGATCTTGTGTAATTTTATTAATGTATTATTATGAACAAATCTTTCAATGAATTTTGATAAGATTTATAGATAATGAACATAATTAGAATCTTAAATAAGAAAAAAATAAGAAATTATTATTTGGTCCAGGATCATTGGTGAAAAAATAATAAATTATTATATTGTCTCGGAATCATTGATCAGCCAATTATCATTTTGACATTTAAGAAAAAAAATAAAAAAACAAGAAACTGAATAAAATTTGTACCTTTTTGACACATTTATTTAGATGTCAAATGCCGATTGGCCGAGATCATATAATAATTTCTCATAAAAATTAATTTAATTCAACTAAAATTTTAAAAAATAAAAGGAAAAACTCAACTCTCAAATGTCATGAGTACCCTCTACCATCTTGTATTTTTAGTAGCTTCTTTTCAATTTTCACTTATCTAGAGGTAAATAAAATTGCTCCAAATAAAGGGAAAAGATATAATTTTAATGGGCCAAAGCACAAAACTACATGATAAAAAATAAATTATAAAATATTGTCATTCATTACATACCCGTTCATGGTACATACTACCCAAACAGAAACCAGCGTATATCTAGCGTATTGCACCTCCATTGAAATTTGAATCATAAAATTTCTTGACTTTTCATCCTAACACATATAACCCAGTTAAATAATACAATTTTGATTTGTTTTGGTGTCATATGTAGGGAATTTTGGTAAGATTTATAAATAATGAATATAATTAGAATCTTAAATAATAATAATAAAAAAGATTAGAAATTATTATATAGTCACGGGATCATTGGTCTTGATGAATTATTATTTGACACTTTTAAAAAAGAGTAAAATTTATACATTTTTTACACATTTGTTGAGATGTCAAATGGTGATTGGCCTGATCATATAATAATTTCTCATTAAAAATAATTTAATTCAACTAAGATTTAAAAAAACTAAAAGTAAAAAATCAACTCTCAAATGGCAAGAGTATCCTCCACAATCTTGTATTTTTAGTGGTTTCTTTTCAATTTTCACTAAATAAAATTTCCTCAAATAAATGTAAAAGATATAATTTAAAAAAATACACGGGCCAAAGCACAAAACTACATGATAAAAAATAAATTATAAAATATTGTCATTTATTACATGTATTCATATATATATCGATTCATACCACCCAGACAGAAACCAGCGTATATCGAGCGTATGCATATACATGCATCTCCATTGAAATTTAAATCAGAAAATTTATTGACTTTTCGTCCCAACACATACCAAGTATAGCCCATTTAAATAATACAATTTTGAATTGTTTTGGTGACATATGTAAGAAATTTTGGTAAGATTTATAGATAATGAACACAATTAAAGTAAAAATAAGAAATTATTATATGGTTCCGGAATCATTGATCTCGGTCAATTATTATTTGACATTTAAAAAAAAAAAAATTGAATAAAACTTACATATTTGTTTAGGTGTCAAATGACGATTGACTGAGGTCATGTAATAATTTCTCGTGAGGTTTTAAAAAAATAAAAATATAAACTCAACTCTCAAATGTCAAGAAAATCCTCTGTATTGTATTTATAGTAGCTACTTTTCAATTTTCACTTTTCTAGGAGTAAATAAAATTGCCTCAAATAAAAGGAAAATATATAATTTTAAAAAATACAGGGGCCAAAACACAAAATTACAGCATAAAAAATAAATTATACTGTAAAAGTATCATTTATTACACACATATATACATATACATATCCGTTCATACTACCCAGACAGAAGAAACTAGCGTATACAAATACATGCACCTCCATTGAATTATAAATCTGAGAATTTATAGACCTTTCGTCCTAACACTTATAAGCCAGTTAAATACTAGAATTTTGAATTGTTTCGTGACATATGCAGGCTTCTATCTCTGTGTATTCATCTATAATCAGTAAGAAGACAGTGGGACCCAGTTGAAAGAAGTGCTTTTTTCTCTCCTCCTCCGTCATTCTTCTCTTCAATTTTTTCCCCCTCTCTCTGACTCTCTCTCCCCTCACTTCACGAATTGGGTAGTTCAAGTTTTTCGATTCTTTGCTTTCTAGATAGAGAAAGAAACTCAGAAACTCTCTGTTGGATTTGGGGTTGCTGAATTGATGGTGTTCTTTCATATGGTTGAGATCGATTTGGAAGTCAAGCATATACGTGTTAATCGGGTTGCTTCAATAGTAAGTTATGCAATTCTTTCCATTTTTTGTTCTGATTTGGTTGATTGAAGCCCAAAATGGAAATTTATATGTGAGATAATGTTCTTGTAATCTCCTATGATTCTGGGTTTTAATGGGTGTTTCGAATTTTGAAAAAAAAATAACGTTTTGAAAATTTCAACACCCTAAAGTCGGCAGATCAATTGTTAAAAATTATCTGGATGCTTCAGGGCTTTTTCTTTGTGGGTTGTCTCTGATTTTTCCTTGGAAAATTTGACTTAGTGATTCTGTCTAGATTCTTCTTTACCTTCGTGGACTTGAAGATTCATCAGATTCAACTAGTAATCTCAGCTTGTTCCTCATTGAGATTGAATGGTTAGAACTGTTAGTTTTTCAATGATTTTGTTTTTGTTCAGTTCCAGTATTTTGTTTAGAGTATATATATTCTTTTAGATTGTTCAAGGTCTGAAAATTTCATTTATCAATTTCTGTATAATTTTTAAGACCAAGTTCTGATCTTGATTCTGGAGATGAATATTTATTTGGCTTCTGTATTGGATTCTGGATATTTTTTAGTGTGTTTCTCATTAAGAATTTTGGTCGTGGGTTTGTTATTTGAAAATCTGTGTAGCTTTAACCTGGGTGCGTGAATATCATATTAATTGGATTTTCTGAATTCTATAGGTATAATTTTAAATCTGGGTGCTGTTGGACTTGGGTGTTCTCGGAGTTCCTTTATTTATTATTTTTATGTTTATTCATAAAATTCCATCTTTTGGGGGATTTTCTGATTGAATTTTGGGTAGTTGAATATGGGTGTTTTTCTGCTAAAGTGAGACATGTTTTAGTATGTTTTGATGAATTCCTTGTTCTTTATATATATATATATATATATGTATGTATGTATGTGTGTATGTATGTACTTAGGAACCTTGATCTTGGGAGGGTGTTATACTGTATTTGAGGATTTAATTCACTACTCGTCAGTTTTCTTTAATATGATGTGTTTTTGTTTAAAGTCTGGGCTTTCTGGGGTCACTGGATAGTTAAATTATCAGATTCTTTTAGTCTTCCATTACATCTCTTTCGGTATTGTAGTATGACTTTGATGAGTGGCCAATCAAATTGGGGTTTCTGGGGTCTTTGAATTGCTGAATGATCGAGGGGGTTAACTTTTTTCCTTTTTCCTGTTTATGAAAGAAGTGATTTCCCATTTAATTTTGTACTAATTTGCTGATTGTGGTTAGATTGATTGCACAGGTTGCCTGAAATTTCCTGGGATCAGATGAGTAACATGTGTCGTGTTTGTGGAGCAGAGTTAGTGAGGTTAAATAAGTGCAAGGAGAAACAAGAAAATGGAAATTCTATACAATTAAATGGTAAAGAACCTGTTATGGCATGCAAACATTGTGGGGAGAAGCAAAATAAAGATTCTGTCAAGCAGGATGGTTTAAGTCCTTATGCAACGCCATTGATTAGTCCAACTGCTTCACTGACAAGCAGTGATAGCATTGTCTCAAGCTGCAGTATAGCTTCCCATCTCTTTCTGTTTTATATGATCAAATCATTTTGGTTTAATGGTTATTACCTAATGCTTGATTTCATATTTCAATCTTTCAGGTGATTTTTCTGTTGATGTAAACTCATATGGCAGGTATGCTCCCACAAATCCCTCATCCCCAAACAAATTAAGGAAGGCTAAGAAAGAAATTGTTCTGAGTTCGGACTAAAATAGCAAATTTCTTTACTCTGGCTTTTTTTCCCTAATGATTTTTGTCAGGGATTATCAAGAGGAAAGTAGCACTGACAGTAGTCATGAGGATCTCAACTTTAGGCCAAATGCGCATGTGCAGAACTCCAGCTTGCACCCTTATGTGAACGATAAAGTAAATAATAGGTGCACTGCTAGAGTTGCAGAAATTGTAGCAACTGGCAATGGTCAAGTGAGAGAGAATGATTTTGAGAGTGCTAACGAAGAAGCTGGGATTTCTCATTCATTTGATGATGAAACGGATGCCCAAATATGGGAACCCCCACAACCAGAAGACAAAGAGGATGATATGGATGGTAGTGTGGCCAGTTATGATGATGATGATGATGAATTTGGTGATGGCACAAAATGGGGCAAGCCAAGTTGTTTAAGTAGCTTTGCAGAAGAAGGCAGTGGGAGCTACAGGTATAAAGAGGAGAAACAAAAAGCGATGAACGAGGTGATGCATGGCAAATTCAAGGCTCTTGTTAGCCAGCTTCTTAAATCTGTGGGCGTTACCGTTTCAAGGGAAGATGGTGACAGTTGGGTGGATATAGTGACTTCTTTATCATGGGAAGCTGCTTCCTTTGTGAAGCCTGATGCTTTTGAGGGCAAGGCTATGGATCCAGATGGCTATGTGAAGATCAAATGTATTGCAACTGGTTCTTGCAGCCAAAGGTGATGTGACTAGGACCACAGTTTTTTTTTTTTTTTTTTAATTCTATATAGGACCACAGTTTTTTTTTTTTTTTTAATTCTATGTTCTTTTTCCTTTTCTGTTCATTCTTTTACCGAGTGCTTCCTGGATAATCATGTACTGGTTGATAAATAGGAGTGAGAAAGTTGTATCTTCTACATCTGTTGGATTTTTAATCATACTTTAAATAGGTCTCAGTTCCACGTGTTTCTATCCAACACATCATCTGAAGGAGTCTTTTAAAAGATGCAGACGATTTTCCTCGTAATTTTTATTGAACACAAGAAATCATCTAAATTTTCTGCTTTTCAGTAATCCTTAGGCTTTAGTGAAAGATGAGCTTTATTTCTTTTGTGTTTTGGCCTTCTGGACGTTTGAACAATTTACATGCAATTTATTAAGACATGAAATACATTTTAGTGAAATTACAGATTCCAACCCACACAAAACCTAATTGTATAATTCCTCTTGCATTAAACGTGAAAAATATGTTTGGTGCTTTTTAATGTGGTTTAAATTCATCATATAAAAGTTTGTAAGTTGATGTGGGAAGAATGCAATTTGTTAAAGTTGAATCAAAATTTTAATTTGCAGTCAAGTTGTCAGAGGCTTGGTCTTCAAAAAGCATGCTGCTCACAAGCACATGCCTACCAAGTACAAAAATCCTAGATTGTTGTTGATCCGTGGTGCGCTTGGTTCGTCTTCAAGTGAGTTGTCATCATTTGAATCAATGCAGCAGGTAAACATGATTGGAATGCCTTTTTATCCTGTCTGGGAAGAATACAATTCTGTCTTCTAATCTTTATATTCATGGACAGGAGAAGGATAGTCTGAAGTCTATCATTGAGATGATAGAAACATGCCATCCAAATGTGGTTTTAGTGGAGAAAACTGTCTCTCGTGATGTCCAAGAATCTATTCTTGCAAAAGGAATGACACTAGTTCTTGATATGAAACTGCATCGCCTAGAGAGAGTTGCTCGTTGTACTGGCTCTTCGATTCTATCCTCCGATATCTTGACAGGCCAAAAATTGAAACATTGTGATTCGTTCTATTTTGAAAAATTTGTAGAGGAACATAATGTTTCTGGTGAAGGTGGAAAGAGGCCAAGTAAAACTTTAATGTTCCTTGTGGGCTGTCCAACACGTCTGGGTTGTACAGTGAGTCTCTCCTTTCCATATTATCTCCTATGCTCCAGCATATATTATTTTATAAGGGCAGATGTTGTTGTGTAAATCAATGTCATTTTTTTCCTTGTGCTTGAGGATATGGGCTTGTGGTGATGCAACTCCTAAAAACTGGTATTAATTTTGATGGTTTAGTTTAAGATTGTGTTTAGTGTTTTGCATATACATTGACTTTGGGAACTTTTAAGGTACTTTCGAATTTTCATATTACATTGTGATATACTAGTTTCACTGATTTTGGTGGTTGCCTAACAAGGTAACTACCTGGTGGTGGTCACTGTTAATTGAGTGTCCTGGTGGAAGGGATGATTATTGGTTACAGTTGTAAGTTTTGGGTTTATTTGCACAAAATAGTTGTACATGGTCTTGCGTATGCTTTTTGACATATGTAGCCTAAGAATTTTCCACTGCCCAAAGCTCGACTTGGCAATTGCCTGTATAACAAAAATTCTGACCATTATTTATGTACTAAACTTTTATTAATATTATTTTTTTTTGGCGTCCTCACATTTGTTTTGTTGTCATTTGTTTCTTTTAGTTCATGTGTATAATGTATACATATATTTATACACAAATTTCTAGTTCATGTTGTGATTGGGACCCATTCTTGAAATTTAATTGTGACATGCTCGAAGCATCACAGACAGAGTTCTCAATCTTTTTCTGTTCCATTGTTGATGGCCAAAATATTTTTAAAACCTTTTTCTGTTGCATTGTTTATACATAGTTTTCACTAATTGATATTTAACTTCCATATTAGTTTGATTGTTCTTATTTTACAAGTTGAAAGTAATTCATCTTTAGGAGAATAGAGGGGTTATTTCACTTTTTGACTGGATAAATTAATTCTTAGCCAACCAAATTGAACAACTCTCTGGTAGCATTTCTGGGAGTTCCCTATCAAAGTCTCTACAGAAAAAAGTTAAAAAACTTTATTAGAAGGAATGTAAAAGAGAAAATATGTTGATCATTTTCTAAAATTCTCTTAAAAGTTCAGTAAGACATTTCAGATATGATGTTACCAAATATACCTCAGCTAGAGATGCCGAAATTGTGGCAATTGGCGATGGTCAAGCAAGAGAGAATGATTTTGAGAGTGCTCATGAAGAAGCTGAGACTTCTTATTAATTTGATGATGAAATGGATGCCCAAATATGGGAACCCCACAACCAGAAGACAAAGAGGATGACATGGACTGTAGTGTGTCTACTTATGATGACGATGATGAAGAATTTGGTGATGACACGAAATGGGGCAAGCCAAGTTGGTTTAGTAGCTTTACAGAAGAAGGCAGTGGGAGGTACAGGTATAAAGAGGAGAAACAAAAAGTGACGAACAAGGTGATGCATGGAAAATTCAAGGCTCTTGTCGGCCAACTTCTTAAATATGTGGGCATTAGTGTTTCGGGGGAAAGATGGTGACAGTTGGGTGGTTATAATGACTTCTTTATCATGGGAAGCTGCTTCCTTTGTGAAGCCTGATGCTTTTGAGGGCAAGGCTATGGATCCAGAGGGCTATGTGACAACTGTTTTTCAACTCCATAGCCTTGCCCTCAAAAGCATCAGGCTTCACTAAGGAAGCAAGCTTCCCATGATAAAGAGGTCACTATATCCACCCATTCATCACCTCATTCATCGCTTTTTGTTTCTGTTCTTATACCTGTAGCTCCAACTGCATTCTTCTGTAAAGCTACTTAAACAACTAGGCTTGCCCCACCAACGGGCCAGTGGCCTAGTGGTTTCAGCTTACCTCCCAAAGGGAGGTCAGGGGTTCAAGTCTTAGTAGAGGCATGTGTGTGTGAGTACCAACTATGAAAAAAAAAAAAAACTAGGCTTGCCCCATTTCGTGACATCACCAATTCATCCTCAGCATGCACCATCATAACTATCTACACTACAGTCCATGTCATCCTCTTTGTCTTCTGGTATGTATATTTGGTAACATCATATCTGAAATGTTTTACTAAACAAAAAGAAAGAATGTTTAGAAAATGAACCATTAAACATATTTTCTTACTGAGGTATATTTGGTAACATCATCTCTGAAATGTTTTCTTTACTTCTTGCATTGAGGATTGGTCTAGCACAGATTTTCTGGCTGCCCACGTCACACATCCATTCTTCATTGTCTTGGCCTGGATCTAGTATATGACCTGACATTGGCTGGTCTTTGCCATTAATCTTGTAATAGAATTGAACTCTTAGGATCTAGTTTCACTATAAGTTCTATAGGATACCATCTTGAATCCTGAAACAAATTTTTTGGATCTATTGAACTTAAATTTATAATTTTTATTTCAGATTTTGCTGAAGGGAACTCAGAGCGACGAATTGAAGAGGATTAAATGTGTGGTGCAGTGTGCAGTTGTCATGGCGTATCATTTAATCCTGGAGACTTCTTTCCTTCTAGATCAAAGAGCAATGTTCTGTACCATTCCTTTCAATGGAGTGGCAAATTTATTATTGAATGACCTACAATCTCCATCAGTTGGCTCTGGTGATTCAAATGTTTCTTGTCTCGAGGAACCTAGTTCAAAAACTGATTCATCATGTACAATTGAGATTCCCATTTCTAATGGATTCCATGAAGAAGGGTCACACAACCTAAACTTGGGATTAGAAGGCAATTCTACATTGTCTTATGAGCCATACAATCCAGTCATTCTTTCTGGGTTATCGTCCCTTTCAGCCTCTCTTAAGAAAGTTATTGAGGATAGCTTTCCTTTGTTCTCCTCTAGTTCTCACCAATCTATGTCTACATACTACAGCTTAGGTTGTAATGACTCTGATAATCGGACCCCAACTACGGTTCAGGTTTCAACATCTCCAGAGGCAAATGATCATTCTGTTATGGAAGCTAAGGGTAGTTCTGATGAAGAGAAGGAACTTGATCGTGAACAACCAAATTCACCGTCAACTTGTAAGATTCCCCTAGATGCACAAAGATCTGGTGTCAATGATGATGACCAAATGCAAAGCAAGAATGATATCAGCAAAGTTTTGGATTCTGAGAGTATTTTGGTTTTGATGTCTAGCCGGAATGCCTCAAGAGGGACTATCTGTGAGCAAAGTCATTTTTCTCATATCAAGTTCTACCGGAACTTTGACGTTCCCCTTGGAAAATTTTTGCGGGATAATTTACTTAATCAGGTTACTCTGACTCTATTTATTTGGCATTTTCAAATTCTTGTAACTGTTAGTATCTGCTTTTTGATGACTTTATATAACTCTGTACAGAAACAGATGGTGTTTCCTTACCCAGGGTCCTGGAGGTTGCTTTTGTCATTTTATTGAATTTTGAGTTTTTACTGTTCAGTAAAATGGCTAACTTTAGCCTTGGTGCCCTGAATTTAGAAGGGTGTGATTGGTTTCTATTTATACAATTTGTTTTTGATACTTTTTTGAACAGTAAAACTCAAAACAATTTATTTTCTTAGTTATCTTTTCAAAAATGTATTCCACTCACTGGTGGTTGGCACTTACAAACTGTTGCTTTATGCAGAGGCTCCGGTGCACCTCGTGTGGTGAACCACCAGAAGCTCATTTTTACTACTACGCACATCATAATAAGCAGCTTACTATTCAAGTTAAACGTTTGTCCAAGAACACTTGTTTACCAGGTGAAGCTGAAGGGAAGCTTTGGATGTGGAGTCGCTGTAGTATATGTAGACCACACAATGGGAACTCAAGATCTACTAAAAGAGTGTTGTTATCCACCGCTGCCCGTTGTTTGTCATTTGGAAAGTTTTTGGAGCTCAGCTTTTCAAACCAGTTTTCATTTAGCAGTCCATCAAGCTGCGGGCATTCCTTGCAGAGGGACTTCCTCTACTTTTTTGGGTAGGATCTCTTGCTAACAATGTTTTAGTTCATTGGAGGTTGCATTTGTTGCACCTCCTTGTGTTTGGCAGAAATAAGCTGATTCCCATTCATTAATTTCTGGTTGGGTGGGGTGGCATTTTTGTCTTTTACTAAAATGGGTTGAAATTTTGTTGGGGTTGTACTTATGTAGAGAGTGTGAGAGAGAATTGCAAGGATATGGAAGTAAATGTTTTTGGCTTTCTTGTCCCCATAATGCACTATACGGTTTGTTTTAGATAAATTTGAGAAATGAATCCAGGTTCCTACACTTGCAATTTAGGCTAGGGTTTGTCATATATACTACCTTGTGGTAGTTGGTGTTGTCATTATGAAATAAATGCACATTTTTGGGTATTGCATTTTTGGCTCGGGTTTTATTGCGTCTATATTTGTATACTTTGTGGTTTTTGGCATTCGTTATTCACACGGCATCTCCATGCAATGTGCAGGTTGGGTCCCATGGCTGCAATGCTCAGATACTCTCCAGTTGCAACTTATTCTGTGTCTGTGCCGCCTCAAAGACTGGAATTTAGCAATTCAATCAGACCAGAATTGCTTAAGAAAGAAAGCGAGAATGTATGTACTTTTTATGATTATGCTCACTATCTTGATTCCTGAATAATCCTGATGCTGCTTCTTTGTTTTTGGGTGAATGATGAAACAGACATTTATTTCTTGTTATGTTTGGTTTTCTTAACTGGGATTAATATTTGTTTCTTTATCATGAAAGGTATACTCGAAAGGGATATTGCTTTTCACTCAGGTTGCAAAGTCTCTGCATAAGATTGAGTCTCAATTTCCAACTTCAAGTCTGAACTTTCGTGGATCATTAAAAGAACTCTCTGATATTCAAGAGATGTTGAAGCAGGAAAGATCCGAATTCGAGGTTAGAATTTAACATTTTCTAGTTACATGACATCTTGATCTGAAGAATTGTGGGAGAATTAGTTTTTTCCATGTAGATTTCTTTCACTGCCTAGTTCTTTTCTTTCTGCAACAAATTATTAATGCTTAGTTTAGGTAATGAGCTGGTGTTCTGAAAAAAGCTTTCACATGGTAATTGTCTTTGCACATAACTATCTTGCATTAAAATGGATATGCAACCACCTTTGGAAAAAGATCTGAGTTTGTAGCATAAGGAAGTTTTTGAGCATGTACCTGTATTTGTGCTTAATTAAGGGGTGTTGCCTAATTCTAGGCCCAACCTTGGTGTCTTTTGCTCATTTTCAGTAATGTTTCTTTCCTCTTCTAAATTTAATTATATTGGCAAGTGTTCTTTTCTGCTAACTTAGACATGCTACTTGTTGCACCTTAAGCAACAGTTTTTTTCCCCCCTTCCCCTTTCTAGATGCAAAGATTGGTTTTCAGCTATATTAAACAGGAACTAACAATGTTTACTATTTTCCGTTTGGTTTCACAATAAACAATCAGATGAAAATTCAGAACAATGTTATAATGAATGGGAGTGGTGAGGTTGTTTATAAACATCTATACTTGAACCGAATACTATGGGAGCTTCTACTTGAATCGTGCATTTGGGATCGCCGTCTACATTCATTGTTATTGTCTGCTGATTCTAGTAAAACTAGAACCACCGACACAGAAATGCAAGGGTGTACTCATTTGAAGGAGGATGGCACTGCAGGTGGAGAAACTGACATGGAAGAAAATACTTCGGAAAGTGTCGATAACGTTTCTGGCAATAATGCTGATATGAAAATGGAGTTGGGGACATCTGTAGACGCACAGGAATTTCCAACTAAAGAAATTCCCATTGAAGGTCCATTTCAAGGATCTAGGGAACAAGATGAACCACTCACCTCATCTATTGTAGCTAGGGATATCAACAGCTCAAATGTGGGAAGCATAGATGTAAGTGGCTCATTTGGGCAGGATTTCCTGGTAAAATCTAATATCTCTGCCCATTCTCGTGATGGTGATGAAAATTGTCAAGCAGAAAATCTTCCATCGTCTGCTCGTTTGGTAGCGGACAGAACCATCCCGATCATGACAGAACTTGGAGATAATGTTCCTGATTTAGATGTGTCCCAAAGGGGTACAACTCCATTTCCATTACTATCCAACGGAGGAAGTTTTAAGGGATGGGTCTGGACTCCTTTTCCAGAAATTCGAGAGGAGTACATGAAGGATATTCAAAAAGGTTACTTGCCAAAATTTGAATTTACTAGTAGCAATCTAATGGGAAGCTTGCCTGTGCTTCGTCAACTGATTACTGAGGAGGGTTCAAGGCTGCACATTCCTCTTGGTACTGATGACTATATTGTGTCAGACTATGAGGGTGAATTCTCAAGCATAATTGCTTGTGCTTTGGCCTTGCTGAAGGATCTACCTCTTTTAACTGAGGATCACAATGATGATACTAGAAAAGAGAGAGGATTTGTTATAAAAGCGTATGAGAATTCACCCAGCATGACTCGAATATCATCTCTGACTTCCCCACATTTGGCTTCAGCTGGTTCTTTGGATTCAGATGGAATCCATTCTTCACCAAGTTTTTCTTCAGAAGAGTCAAACTTGAGTTTTGATGGGTCAAGGTTGTTGGAGTCTTTGGTTTATTTGGGGGCCCTTCACCCAGAAGTCTTTATGGGGGTTGAGAAATTATCTGGAAAGGGTAAATATTCTGTTGTTTGTCTATATGCCAGCCAATTTCGAGACCTTCGAAATCGATGTTGTCCTTCTGAGCTTGATTACATTGCTTCTCTAAGCCGGTGTAGGAACTGGGATGCTAAAGGTGGGAAGAGTAAATCTTTCTTTGCTAAAACTTTTGATGACAGGTTCATTATAAAGGAGATCAAGAGGACAGAATTTGATTCATTCGTTAAGTTCGCTCAAGATTATTTTGGTTATATGAATCAGTGCTATGAGCTAGGGAATCAGACATGCCTTGCAAAAATTCTTGGCATTTATCAGGTCAGTTTTATCTATATTTTTTCCTTCAATAGTTTTGCTTTATATGTGCTTTAGTTTTTTCTTTATTTTATTTTCTACTTACCATTTGACTTTTCTTTGCAGGTAACTATTAGACAGACAAAGAGTGGCAAAGAGATGAAACATGAACTGATGGTGATGGAGAATCTGTCATTTGGTCGAAACATTACTCGCCAGTATGATCTTAAAGGTGCTTTGCATGCACGATTCAATGCAGCTGCTGATGGTTCAGAAGATGTTCTTTTGGATCAAAACTTCGTCAATGACATGAATGCTTCTCCTTTATATGTTAGTAGGAGATCAAAGCGCCTTTTGCAACGGGGTGTCTGGAATGACACAACTTTCCTCAATGTGAGTTTGCAGTCAACTGTTGCTACCATCCTAATAGGATTCTTGAATAAATTTTAATCACACCTAACCGATCATGCAGCATGCATAATTTATAATTGTTAGTACGCATAGTATTGATGAATATATCCTTCATATAGTGAGCAATTCCTCGATTTTTTAGTGATTATAAAAATGACAACATCGGTCTCTCTCTCTCTCTCTCTCTCTCATTGCCGCTGCTCTTTATTCATATATGTTGCTTGTATTTGCAGTCAATTAATGTGATGGATTATTCTCTACTTGTGGGAGTGGATACTCAGCGGCGTGAACTTGTATGTGGGATAATCGATTATCTCAGGCAGTATACTTTGGACAAGCAATTTGAGACATGGATAAAATATTCACTTGTTCCTAAGAATCAATTGCCTACTGTCATATCTCCGAAAGAGTATAAGAAGAGATTTAGAAAGTTCATGTCTATATACTTTCTGAGTGTCCCAGATCATTGGTGCTCACAAAGATCTTCCAACCCCTGCAAACTTTGTGGCATTGCAGACTATGATTCGTCCGATTATATAATGCAAAAGCAAGGGGATCGAAGTGAGTTTTCTACCTGAGCTTTTCTATCTCAGACTATCTTTTCTGGAGTGGTTGCTTTATAATAGTCTATATTCAAATGTTGTATATAGTTTGTCATCACAGTATAGATCCCCCACACATTTTGCAAATTTTTAGCTAAAATTGGGGGGATAATTTCATTTCTATAGGTCTACCATCCTACACCTGAGTCATGTAAAATTTTTGTAAATCAGAGTGAATGTAGAAAGTTGCGATACTTGTATTAGACTTCTATAGATTATTTGGAATCAATTAAAAGAAAGTTATTTATTAGAAATTTAGAAGTTTGTTCTTAGTCTGGCGATGTAATTTTCTATTATATTGATCTCATTCTCATCCCCTTTGCTGGGTATCAACTGGGGTTGAGAAAGTTATATTTGCTTGATTCCATTTTCTACAGATAAATTTCTGGATTTGCTCCGTTTGTTTTGACTCAGTGGTATCAAAAAATGCATAATAGAGGCTTACGTGTTTTCATTTTCCTGGGAAAGTAACATTTGCGGAAGAGGTGTGAATGAACTTATTATCATGCTCCATCATATGAATTAATATATATATATATATATATATATATATAGACATATGCATGAAATAGATGCTACAAGTTATGTATATACATGCATCCAAAAACAGAGTACCATAGCTTATAATTACCAATATAACAGTATGGTTGAGCAAGAAGATTGCACCAAAGATGAGAGAGATGTAACACATACCTGATTATCATTTACGATCCAAGAGTTAGAGCAGTCATCAGCTGAAAACTCATGAGAGAGAGGGTGAAAAGGTGTTCTCAGGCTCTCTGGTACATTGCATTTATATCATAGAGTTTTATATCCATGTGGAAGAGAGCACTTTTAGGATCAGGATTGGACTGTGTTTGAAGACACACACACAAGCATTTGAATATGCACACATTAAACGAGTCTCGTGCCTAAACGGGTTTCATGCATGTAAAAGTTGATAGCCGTGACATATAGGGATGATATTTTTGACACGGGTGATATTTATACTCCAAAAATTATATGCCAGAAACAAATTCCACAAAAGTACTCTTACACTATTTTTTTTTTTTACATTTTAAAACAAAGAAAAAGAAAAAAATGAAATGAGAAAATTGGACATGTTTGGTTTGTAATTATGGAAACAGTTTTCTATTAACATTACAAAAAATTCTATTTATTTTTTGAAAGCTCAGTTATAAAAAGGCCTATTTTCATAAAACAGTCTTTTATTGTTCTCTAAAAATTATTCTATGTTCTGAGTTTCTGAGAACTATTTTTAGAGTTACAAACCAAGCGCGATGCTATAATTTTTGAGAGATATTTATATCATATGCCTATTAATGCTCCATTTGGTAGGAAGTAAGGAAGAGAGGGGGAGAGAAGATAGGAAGGGAAAAACTGAATTTCCTTTGTTTGGTAGATAGAAAACAAGGAGGCAAGAAGAGGAGAGAGAAGATGACGGATGCTTCACAGTTTCACAAATTTTCATCCCTCCAAATATGGATGGAAAACGCAAAGGAAAAAAATGCAAGGCTATTGTAAAAGTATTTAAATTACAATTTTTTTTTTTTAATTAACACTCTTTTCTTCTCTCATCACAAACAAAATAAAATATGGTATTATGTAATTCTCTTCTCTTTCATCTAATCAAACAAAAAGCAGGAAGAACACGAAATCTTTCTCAAGATGTCTTATTCATCTCTTCTTCTCTTCCTTCCATCTAATTTTCTTCCTTCCTACCAAACGGAGTATAAAAGACGTGAAATGTAAATATCACGCATCCTTTTGTGGGAGTCAAAATTTATTGGGACAACTTTGTAATTTTATAATGTATGTATATAAAATTAAAATTGACAAAATTTAGTCGGAAATATAAGGTGGCCCCATAGTTGTTTGAAGTGATTCAGCTCCATTTGTGGTCGTGCTTGTCCGTAACACACTTCGATGTCAACATGGCGAGTTCGTGATGGGACACTCTTGTCCTAAATTCATCCCACTAATGAAATTTTTTATCAAACCCGTTTCAGGGCGCCCCGGATCGGAGTCGGAACGGGTTCGGGACGGCCATACACACACACACACACACACATATGTCCAAATCTTGTGCCTAAACTTGAATTTTGGTGACACAGGTTGCTGGTAGATTGAAATTCAGGCCTCATCTTTGAGATTAAGGCACTGAGCCATTGTTTGAACTTACTGAATCATATGGTTCAATCTACCACCCCAATTGAAATCGTAGTAGCTAATTACAGATTATACCTTTTTCTCTTTCCTTTTTTTTCCCAAGAAAATATAAAAATATACCAAATGTTTAATATATGTTTTGCCATTTCTTTAGAAACTCCACATAAGAGAAACCAGCACTGGGTCGTACTTTTTTGGCATTCGAACCATGCGACTCACTTGTTGTATTAGCTGCTGAATAGTATCGGTAGTTAAATACTTTTTTTTTTGGTCATAAATATCAGTTTTCTAAATAATCATATAATAGATTTCACTAGAGTTTATAGAAGGAAGAGTTTTCAAAATTTCAATTTATTCGTGTCACAGTTGGTAGTAAGTTACCAAAAACGTGTAAGAGGAAAAGCTCACATGGCTTTACCCCACTTTAGTTCTTTAACAGCATTTTGTGGGGTGATGAAATATCATCTATATGCAACAGTAATGTTTTTTTTTTTTTTTTTTTAATTTTTAAATTTATTTTTAATTTTGATTTTTGGTTCTTATATTTATAAAAAGAAGAGATTTTTTTTTTTTTTTTTTTTTTCCACAAGTAGATAAAAAGAAAATTTTGGTCACTGACTTGAGAGAATCTGTGATTCTTTACTTTTTCATGATGGTACGTTTATCTACTCACTGCAGGGCATTTTACTTACCGTATGAATATTGTATGAGTCATAACTTCTTCACATCAAAGGCACATAATTTGTAAGAATGTAAGTTTTGTTAGTTCATTAGTTTGCTAATTCATTCTCTGTGTGATGCCGTATTACCTGAAAATGATATATGGGAGGAAATTAATGATATTAATTATATTAGCTAAACAGAAACATTTAATTGTACATATATGATGGGTTTTTAATTCTGGTAAATTCTAATTCTATTAGAGTGATAACTTTCAAACTTAAATAAGATTTGATTGAGCTGCAATAGTAAGACTATTTGTCTTCTAGAGAAAAATCCATTTATCTTGTAGTGATCCATCTTCATCCTTAACAAATTTTCATCAACTCAAAAATGGAAAAGGAAGAAAAAAGGAAAGACAACTGGACTATTATAAAAGTTTTAAATTAAATACTATTATAAATTATACAAGTTTTAAATTACAATACCATCTCTATAAATTGAAATATTAAATATTATTAGATATAATGGTAAAACCAATTAAAACTTTCTCTTTACTTCTCTTTCAACGAAGATATGAAATTATAAACTTATTTTGTTCTGTTCTCTTCTATCTAACCAAACAAAAGAAAGAAAATACACAATCTCTTCCCCCATGATGTCTCATCCATCCCTCCTTCTTTCTCCCATCCAAAATTATTTTTATTTTTATTTTTATTTTATTTATTTATTTATTTTTTCAATAGAGCATTAGGTATGGACAAAAATCAATCTAAGAAGAAACCTTATGTGTATTGTGGATTAAACACAAAACAATATTAGCATCTTTGACAGCAAATCATTTTGGGTGCAATCCAAAACTAATACACATGAATTATCTACCGTGAGCGAAGTAATTGAACTACAAGAAATGATCTCTACTGAAAAAAAAAGAAAAAAGAAAGGAAAAGTACACCAAGAAACTGAAAAAATATTGTTACAAACTTCCAAATTCAGGTACAATGGCAACGAAGTGGAACAGATGCACCTGGTGGTTTTCTCTTCACCCGGATGATAGCTTCTTTAATCATGGGCAATTTTCCGTAAACCTTTTTCCAAATGTAATTCACGGCACCATTTGGAGGAATAGGGCCAATGCCACCAGGATGGCCGTTGTCAAACTGGAAAACATGCTGGACCTGAGCCATATTTTGCCGAAATCTATCCTTTTGCTTGTCAGAATAGCTTTTAAGATGACCAACCAGCCAATTTGGTTGCAATGCGTCACTAACAGCAACAAAAACAGAAAATTCGGAATAATCCACCATCCCTTCAAATGGGAGCTCAATGTCGTCGCTGACAATGACAGGTATACAGAGACTTTGGATGGCATCAAAAAGTCTGCATGATGTGGGGGTATCCCCGGCAGGGTGCAAGCAGAACTCTGATGATCTCATCCCTTTTATTGATTGCTCCTTCCCAGTGGCATTAGGGAAACCTTCTTCCATTGTAACACCAGGTTCACCAACTAACATGTCCCATAACTTTTCTCGAACAAGCCCTCCCTGTAGTTAGAAGAATTGAACATCAGTGAGAGGAAAATGGAAGGCAGCATTATGTTAAACAGTAAGGTTGCATATGAGTTGATGAGTTTGAAGTGAAATGATTTGACTTTAATAGTTCAAGGTTTAAAGAATGGAAAAAAGAGAATTCATATGGGCGACTCGCCGACTCCATCCATTTTGGATAAGGGATGATGATGATGAGTTCAAGATTTATAGACTGGAGGGCCTTAACCAGGAGTTTTATAGTTACAACAAGAAAGAGCTATATGAATTCTGTACCCTGATGATTCCATTGCACAAGTGTTTTAGTTGGAAATATCTCACCGACCTCTATTATATCCTCTCCATCAACTCTTCCAACTATTATATTTCTAAATTTCAACCTTTCCTCATCTAATGTATGTTGTCCAAATCACTAGCCACAAAGATGCAAGCAGATACAAGAGAAATATAGTTCTACCATAAAAATATTTGTTAGTTGGGGAACACCATCTATGTTTCATTAAAAAATTAGTAAGAAACACCAAGACTGCACTATGCCACTGCTGACAGTGTCCCTTCATCACATACAATGAGGGGTCTCGAATTTTCGTACTTTTCATTCATCAGGTTCCAAATCCATGAGTGCCAAGTGCACAATGAACTAAACCAAAGATATATATATATATATATATATATCTAATACGAGATCATATATTTCACAGTAAAGGTGTCTAACACAGTTACGAATTCTGTATCCATGCTTATAACTGGAAACATAATGAAGACAACATTTTCTGGTGCCTAGGTACCTTATAAGTAGCAAGTAAAGGAATTGCCAAAAATGTTACCTTCATCCCAGCTTCTTCATGATCTCTAGATAGAAGTTTATAAAATATGATACATCATACATTGACACCAGTAACACTCACACTTCAGCAGAAATTTACTGATTATTTGATCCTTAAATAAAAAATGGCATTGTGTTATAGTAGTGGTTGGAAGGATCTAAAGCTGAAATGCATCGACTATCACACTGGACCGATGCTCAAGATTTAGACATATAACAAGTAACTATTATTGTCTAGAACAAAAAACACAGCATATGAGAATAAGTTATATCATTGAATAAAAATTAAAGATATTTGCAAGAAGAAAGGATGAGGATACAGAACAAGTAGCTCATTAGCTAGAAAGAAGAGGGAACCTAAACAGAACAGGAGACAAAAGAAGTTGACTACTGCATATGCAGCTTGAGGTAACATCAGTTCCACATCCACTGAAGTAATAGCTATTTCGCTATATAAATTCCAATATCTAACCACAATGAATTAAGTAGCCAAAAATTGATGTGTGTTATATTAGTGATAAACCACTCGCAATAGAATGAATCCTTGTAGGATAGGGCTATGTCGAGGGTGTCGAACCTCAAGGACTGTGGTGGATTGTCAAGTATAAAATTAATTACTAATTTAATTTAGAGAGAAGATTTGTTTGTTTGTTTGTTTACATCTAAATAACATAAAAATAAAAATAAGAAAAGATTGAGATCAAGAGAAGAAATACTTAGGGCTTGACTTCACCACGAACCTCGTAATATGGTCAATTGATTCAACCTTAGGGATTTCAATATTCATGCATGATCAGGAATTAAATGAATTAAAGCAATTATATCGAATAAAACCCTTTTCAGAGCCGAATGCAAGTAAACTATGAAAGTTGGATAACATACAAAATCTGAACATTCGTATCATGTAGCTGTGATTAAGCCAAAATAATGATTATAGGGTAATTAAAACCATATAGAAAAAACAAGAGAAAAAAAAAGTTAATACGATAGGAAGTCTAGGAGACTAGGAGGGAACGTATCTTCTGGCATTTCAGAGAAGAGAGACAAATTAGATATGTACCTCCTTATTAAGTGAATAACAGGTGAAGAAATTAAAATACTGACCCGGTGCCTATGTTTAGCTCCTTTGAAGTAAAGAAGGGTGTGGCGTTTCTGGTTTTCTGATATGTGCAACCTTGGCAATAGATGGGTGTATGGCACGATTACATCTTTGAGCAGCGAAACTTCGGTATGTTGTATCATATCTGATGAGCTACCATTGGATAATTTTGAGTCAAGCCTGTACCACCCACCAAAATCCACCACTAGAAGAACAGCTGGGGCGATCTCAGATCTAGCATGCCACATTGCAACAGGGTCTGCCAAAGAATGCCTCAAGTTTTATTATAACCTGACAATCCAGAGACTAAATCATAAGCTGCCACAGCAAGCAGTACTCTTTTTTTCCCCTCATAGCAGGTCATCTAGAAAAGATTGTCCTATATATCTGTAGGACTTGTTAACATAAAAATGTTGTCACCATTCATCATGGTTCCATGTAACCTTAATTGTCAAATGAAGATTAATTTAAATGAAACTATAAGGGTAAATTAGAAAAGCGGTCTTCTCTTGTGGAAAGAAACACCAAATATATGTCTGGTCCAAAAAAACTAAGTGGGTATTTAAAGTATTAATTGTACAGGCGCCCTGAATTGATTCAGGTAGTGACAACTTCATGAAAATTATTAACTCAAATGTAACATTCTAGGCTTTTTATTTATTTTAAAAATACACCATATCATTTTACCACAAAAAATATACAAGGACCATAAAAGATCAGCAATATGCAAACTAGACATATACATTTATTTTTTCAATTTATCAATAAATATTTGTACTTTTGATATTATATGTAAGTAAATTGTAAGCAACATCAATCATTAAACCTCAGAAATTTCAATAGAGAATATTCAAAACCCATGAAATACCATCTCCATAAACGAAACAACATCAACCATTTTATATATTTTGTAAATAACATTAACATTGAAATAATTCAACAGGACTCTCATACCTGTAAGAACAAACACATGATCTCGGCCACCGGACCGCTTCCAAGCCTCGGAAGCCTTTACAAATTCCACCACCTCCCTCTGCCTCTGATAGTCCTCATTCCCCGCCTTCTTCCTGAACACCCCCTTGGCCATACCCAACTGCATTTCGGCACTCAGAGTCGCGAAGAACGGTACGAAAACAACGTCGGCCAAGCCGACATCGAAAACCCGCCTCGCGAACGACCCAGCTCTCAATTCTTCGGGGGTCATCAGATCACCCATGATCCAGTACTCGGCACTGTACTGCTTGATCAGTGGATTCTCCGGAAACGGAGGGAATTCGAGCTTTTTCGACAAAAGGGTCGATCGGATTTGGTTGTCTGCGTCGCTTCCGAGCCTCGAATCGTTCTCAAAAGACCAGTATTTGTCTAAGAGGCCGTAGTTGAGTGATCTAGGTAGGTCTGCGACATAGACTTTGATGGAATTGCTAGGAAATTGTGGAGTGATTGGGGAAAGCAAAGATGGGGATGATGCTGGTGAGGGTTTGGATTGGTGGATTGTATTGGAGAATAAGAAGCGAGAGAGTACAAGAATGCAGAGGAGAGAGAGTGAGAGAAACAGAGAAGAAACAGAGCATAGAGATGTGGTTTTGTTCTTTGGATCCATTTGGTTCCGATCTCCTCTCTCTTGGGCGTTGTCTGTGCTATATACTCGCAAAAATGGTGTGTGTAGTTCAGATTTATGGGAGATGGGTAATTGGGTCCTTTCGACAGTCACGTGGGTTAACCCGTTACCAATTCCGGTATTACTTAGTGGCCTAGGTATGTTTGGTACGATGGGTTTAAAGGGAAATGATAACATTAGTTATGATGGAAAGAGAAGGAAAAGAAAGAGAAGGATAATTTTAACCTCCTTATATTTGGTTGATTAATGAAGGAAAAGAAAGGGAAGAATAATAATCATGTTTGGAAAAAGAAAGGCAAAGAAATGAAATGGAATTATTTTAATAAATTGACTATTATACCCTTTATATTTTTTTTAAAAAATAAATATATATATATAGTCTCATGTACCTGCACAAGAAAAGAAAAAAAAAATTAGGGCAAATCATTTCAGCCTCCCCAATCTCGCCTCCATCTCTATTATATATATATATATAGTCTCCTATATCTGATGGGCCACAAGAAAAGAAAAAAAAAATTAGGGCAAATCATTTTAGCCTCCCCAATCTTGCCTCCATCTCTATTCTCGTTCTCAATTCTGAACTTGCCCTCTTCTCTCTCTCTCTCCACTACAAGAATCAGAAGTTCAAAACCCATATATTTCAGTTTATCTATCTGTCTGTAAGAATCAAAAATTCAAAACCCATATCTTTCAGTTTTCATCGCTGTTGTTCCAGTTCGGGTTCGCCGTTGGCCTGCCGTCTCTTTTCTCTCTACAACTGCTAATTTGTATGTATATTGTTTTGCAAACTTGTGTAATCTTGAGGGTAAAATTGGTATCACAACTCCTCCATCAGTCATTACCTTCCTTTTCCTTCTATTTCCTCCCATTTTTGGGAGGATGAACAAATTACTGTACAAAGTTATACATAACCCTCCAAACCCTTCCCTCTTCTTTCATTTCCTTCCACCCATTTTACCCAAACACAATTTTTTAATCACCCTCCATCACCTTCCTTCCCTTTTCTCCGATTTCCACTCTACCAAACTGAGCCCTAATGTTACATGTGGGACTTGTCCCACATCGAATTTGGATGGGAGTTGAAATGTGTCTAAATGGGTGGGTATGCAATAATACTTAACAGTTTAAGCTTTTGGGTAAATGCGCAAGCGCCCACCTGTTTTAGTTAATATCATAGCCAGACCCAATTCTTAATTCGGTGTCAAACTAAGCGTTCGAGTCTAGCCCTGGGTAGGTAGGGTGGCCCGACCAACGAGGGCGTTGCACGGGTTCGAGTGGGGGATAAAGTTACAAGTGTGACTTGTCCCACATCGAATTTGTGACGTTTCCAATTTTTAGCATTTTTCGTTTTTCTGGAAATTCGTTGGTGCTAGGGTATTTCTGTTTTTTCGCGTTTTATGGTTGGGTCCATTTGCATTTTTGTGCATGTTAATTTATGTGAATAATGTAGCATTCTTATAATGGTGCATTGCATGTAATTGTGTGGTGTGGGAATTAAAGCAAAAAGAAAAAGATAAGATAAAATGGAAGTGGTGGGACCCACCGCTAACTCATATATGAGGCTAGAGACCATTTTGGTCTCTCACTTTCTCTTTCCCCGTAATCATTCTCTTCCTCTTTCTTTTCTTCTTCTTTTCTTTTCCTTTTGATTTTCAAACTTCAAATCAGGATTCCATCTTCAATACTTGGAATTTTGGAGTGTCGTTTGAGGCAAAACGGAGAGCACGACGAGCTCTACGCGTGAGTACTATCGATTTCAGCTTTGAGCCTCCCTTTGGATTTCGAATTTGGAGACCCATTTTAAGGGTTTTGCTTAAATCAAGGTAGGGGTTCTTAATCCATGATGTTTTTGTACTTTAGTGAGTTAACTCTTCATAAATGGCTAATTAGCATGCTTAATTTGGGTAGTTCCAAGACAATTGTTTAGTTGTTATATATTTTATTAATTGTGGGATTATGTGAATTAAATGATCTATGTGTTGAACATGCTTATGTGTTGAATTATGTATGCTCAAAATGCTAGATTATTGATGTGTGCGAGCATGTGATAAATTCCTTTGAAATTCTTGCGAACTATACTTAGTAGACAACTTGAGTTAATTATGAAATGATGAAAATAGACAAGACATTAATGCATTCATGCGTTCACATTGGGCAAGAAATGGGAATAATTGATTTTGGAAATGAAAAATGGGGAATTTTGGGAAAGTGTTTTGTTAAACCGGTTTTATGAAAACATGGTCACTGCAGGGGTACTAAAGGGCTGGAGTGTTAATATAGCCTAGAGGGAACTAGGGAGTCGCCCTAGTGTGGTTGAGCTAGCTGGGCCCATAATGACGCCGCGGGGGTACCAAGGGTCAGGGACACTAGCCAATCCTTCTCTTGTGTCGCTGCGAGGTCACCAAAGGGCGGGTAATATTAACAGTTTGAAAGCATTGATTTTGAATGTGAAAAATGGGGAGCGACATCGACATGCAATGCACTCCCATTACATCATATTGTGTATACTTGAGATTGATTGTTATGTGATATTTCCCCGACATTGTATGATCCCCACCTCCTATTGCTCTATTCTTTGTATGGATTCACGGGGATACAAGAGGTGTGTCTTAAATGCTATCTATTGAGCAAATTGCTCACCCCATTTTATCTAACATTTTCAGGACATGGCAAGGAGATGGCGGATGACAATCCACCACAAAATTGACGGAGTATGGGAAGCCTTCATTTTGCTGTTTTGTGCTTAGGCCACACTTTTGCATATCTAGTGTTTTGGAAATGTAATTAAGTCACCGGACATGGCCTTGTAACATAAGAATTAAACTAATGTAATCATTGTAAATATCTACATGAAGTTGTAGCAAGTGATGTTGTAAAATGATAAATTGATGGCATATTAATTTACGATTGTTCAATGTCTCATAATTGATGGTTTAGTTCAGGTCCGGATCATTTTAAGGTCTCCATTTCAGTTTTCCTTTAATCCCACAAGTGCAGTGTCTCAGTAGTAGGTTCCAGGCTCGGCAGAGCCATTTCGGTCAATTGAAATGGTGCATCGGTCGACCGATTCTCTGGCAGCTCTCGGGATCTCTCACTTCGGTCGATCGAAATGTGGTTCGGTCGACCGAACCACATTTCGGTCGACCGAAGTGAGAGATCCCGACCGAACCATCTTCACACTCTTGGCTTCTTTCATTTCGGTCGACCGATGGAGAGCTTCAGTCGACCGGTACAGGAGGGTCTGCTTCGACCGACCGAAGCTCCACTTCGGTCAACCGAAGTGCTTCTGTTTTGGGTTTTTTGATCTTTCACCCGGTTATCCACTCTTGATTCTCGAGTGAACGACTTAGAACCTTGGGAAAACTTGGTTTTGATCCGAATGAGTATGATTAGACGTTAGACATGATAAGTTTGACATAGAGGCCTACATAGAGTTGCATAGGAAGTTGTTTGCATTGTTTACGTGACTACTTGCTACGTATTTTATTTCTTGAACAAGCATGCTTAATTGCTTATGTGCCTACGTGCTTAAATGTTACGTTAAAATGTTTCTTGCATAGTTGCGCATGCTAAGTGTTGGTACGTCATCATTTTATGTTGAGTCATCTAAGGTGAACCTTAGTGTCTTGTCATTGAACCGTTTTCTCGTTTTATAGCACGATGTCAAGGCATGAGGAACAAAGGGAAATTGGCCCTAGGCCGACTAGGGGTGATGTTAGCGAGAGCTCTAGCTCCAATCCAGATGAGCTAAATGATGATGGCACACTTCTTAGGGACTTGATTCCCCCCAAGAGTTGTCCCCGTTAGGAGGGATAATGTTGAAGCACCCGTAGAAGTGGGTAAAGGTTCTGTGGCATTGGAGTTGAATCGTTTATTGCAAAGCGCCGTGAGGGCAACGATTGCCGCTCAATCGCAGTCGACACTACAACCTACAGTTCAAGTTGAGGAGACGTCAGCTCAGAAGCGTCTTAAGATCATTAAAGGGTTTTCTCAGTTGATGCCGGTTATGTTTGAAGGCGGTGCGGATCCAATGATAGCAGACGACTACATGGACCAAGTTGAGACTCAGTTGACTTTAATGGATGTGACAGAAGATCATTTGAAGATCATCCTAGCAACTTACAAGTTTGCTAAGGATGCTAAGCTCTGGTGGAAATCAGTCACGAGTCGGTTTAAGGTGGAAAACATGAGTTGGAATAAATTCAAGGAGCTATTTTATGAGAAGTATTTTCTGATTTCCAAAAGATGGGAGCTAAAAGATCAGTTTCTTGGCCTCATCCAAGGCAACATGTCAGTGGCGGAATATGAGAACAAATTCACTTTACTTTCTCGCTTTGCTCCGGAAATGGTGAGAGATGAAGTTGACAAGACTCGGAAGTTTATTTCCGGTCTTAATGACAGAATAAGTTCGTTGATCATGGCACATTTCATTAAGGTTTATTCTGAAGCAGTAGAGAAGGCTTTGATGCTTGAGGCTGATATCAAAGACAAGGATGTAAGAAGGAAACAGAAGAGAGGTGCAAGGCCATCTTCAGAAGGATCTTCTTGGAAGAAGAATAAGGGTGGTTCGTTTCAGTTTCAGGGGCAGTAGCCTGCATGATCTGCTCTTACCACTCCTTTACCAGCTGGGTCTGACAAAAGTGGAATTGTTTGTTTTCAGTGTTAGCAGCCTGGGCATTACAAGTCCAGCTGTCCCATGAGATCGTCTTTAGTTACTTCAGCTCCAAGGGCTTGCTATGGGTATGGCCAGCAGGGTCACTTGATTCGAGATTGTCCTAGTCAGAGAACAGGTACTGGTAGTGGCAGAGGGTCACGTCAGAGGCCGTCACAGTTGGCTACAGTTCAGTCAGGGTTTAGACCGCCACCACCACCACAGCCTGTTATATCTTATCAGGGTTCACGATCTGTTAGGAGGGATGTTCCTATTGTGCTAGCGTAGCAGTCCGGTATTCAGGGTGGCAGTTCTCAGGCACAGGCACTGCAGGGCCGTGTCTTTGTACTTGAACCGGCTGATGCATCTTCTAGACCGTCAGTTCTTAGAGGTATCTTTCCAGTGTTTGGTTCTTGGGCTTGTATTCTTTTTGACTCTGGTGCATCTTATTCCTTTATATCATCATTATTTGCACTTGCATTAGGGTTGGAGGTCAGTTTCATGGATCAGGCGTTGTGTGTTGATACGCCAATCAGGGTTACGATGTCCTTAAATCGAGTTGTTCGGGATTGTTCCATTGTGATTATCGGGCGGACTTTTGTGTTTGACCTTATCCTCCTGGAGATGACTAGCTTTGATGTCACCCTCGGGATGGATTGGTTAGCTTTCTTTCATGCTACGATTGACTGTTTCAGAGGTAGAGTTACAGTTTGCACTCCTGAGGGAGATTGTTTCTTTTTCATGGGAGATCGGAGTGATTCCCAGCCTTCGTCATTGTATGGAATTCGTGAACGAAGTCGTGGAGATTATTTCTTAGCTAGTCTTCTAGCCGAGGAAGATGATGTTGTGGGAGAAGACTATCCGGAGGTAGTTCGTGATTTTCTAGATGTATTTCCAGAGGATTTGATAGAGTTGCCTCCTTACCGGGAAGTGGAGTTCACTATTGACTTGGTGTCCGGTACCGCGCCAATTTCTATGGCACCGTATCATATAGCACCAGTTGAATTGGAATAGTTGAAGAAACAACTTGACGATTTGAGGATGAAGGGTTTCATCCGACTGAGTGTGTCGCCGTAGGGCGCACCGGTCTTATTCGCTAAGAAGAAAGATGGTTCTTTGAGGCTGTGCATTGATTACCGAAAATTAAATCATGTCACCATCAAGAATAAGTATCCTTTGCCAAGGATAGATGATCTATTTGACCAGTTGAGGGGAGCCAGTTATTTCTCGAAGATTGATTTGGGGTCTGGCTATTATCAGTTGCGGGTTAGGGATGAGGATATTCCAAATACAGCGTTTCGTACACGGTATGGACACTACGAGTTCCTTGTTATGCCATTTGGCTTGACTAATGCGCCAGCGGTATTCATGGACTTGATGAACCGCGTCTTTCACGATTACTTGGACCAGTTTGTGGTAGTTTTCGTGGATGACATTCTTATGTACTCACGGACTTGGGGGGAGCACGAAATCCATTTAAGTATTGTTTTACAGATTTTGCGAGAACACTGATTGTATGCCAAATATGAGAAGTGTGAGTTTTGGCTCCGAGAGGTGAAGTTTTTGGGACACGTTGTTTCGGAAGGTGGAGTGTCAGTTGATCCATCAAAGATATAATCTGTTTTGAATTGGGAGCAACCCAAGAAAGTGTTTGAAATTCGGAGTTTCCTCGGTTTAGTAGGTTACTATCGGAGATTTGTAAAAGATTTCTCCCGTTTAACAGCGTCTATGACCCGATTGACCCGAAAAGGAATCAAGTTTGTATGGAATGAAGCTTGTGAGTCATATTTTCAGGAATTGAAGACAAGGTTGACTACGACTCTAGTGTTAGTGATACCTGAGCGTGGCTTGGGTTATGTGATTTATTGTGATGCTTCACGTGATGGTTTAGGATGTGTGTTGATGCAGGATGGTAGAGTAGTGGTTTATGGGTCTCGACAGTTAAAGACTCATGAGTACAACTACCCTATTCATGATCTGGAGTTAGCGGCGGTCGTGTTTGCCTTGAAGTGTTGGAGACACTACTTGTATGGTGAAAGGTTTGAAGTGTTTTCAGACCACAAGAGTCTCAAATACATTTTCTCCCAAAAGGACTTGAATAACAAACAGAGAAGATGGGTCGAGTTCTTCGAAGATTACAATTTTGATTTGCAGTATCATCTGGGAAAGGCAAATGTGGTAGCAGATGCCTTGAGCCGGAAATCTCGTGGAACCTTAGCCGGATTAGCTATTCGAAAATGGAAGATGCTTAACGATTTGGCGGAGATGGGATTGTATTGTGTTGACAATGATGGTTGCTGTGAATCGGCGTTCTTGTTTAATCTTGTGGCTCAGCCTACTCTTGTTGTAAGAGTGATTGAGTCACAGAGATAGGATTCGGATTTAAATGTCATTCACGCTCTAATCTCCAGCGGTGAGACAGTGGAGGGTTGGACCTTGCATACAGATGGGGGTCTACGGTTCAGGGGTTTATTGGTGGTCCCCACAGTTTGTCGGGAGGATATCTTATGGGAGTTTCACACTTCCTGCTTTGCAGTTCATCCAGGTGGTACTAAGATGTATCACAATTTGAGGCGTCAGTATTGGTGAAACGGGATGAGGAAGGATATCGCACAGTTTGTGGCTAAATGCCTTACCTGTCAACAGGTGAAGGCTGAGCATCAGAGACCAATCGGGTTGTTACAATCATTGCCTGTGGCGCAATGGAAATGGGAACAAATCGCTATGGATTTTGTGATAGGTCTTCCAAGGTCACGGAGAGGCAACGAGGCCGTATGGGTCATCATTGACAGATTGACCAAGACGGCTCACTTTTTGCCTATTAAGGCAACTGATGATGCAGAGGCACTTAGTGGTCTTTACGTGAAGGAGATTATAAGGTTACATGGAGTCCCAGTAACCATTGTCTCAGATAGGGATGCCAAGTTCACTTCGAAGTTCTGGGAAGGACTTCAAGTAGCGTTCGGTTCAGTATTGCATCTTAGCACGGCATTCCATCCACAGATGGACGGCCAGTCGGAGCGTACTATCCAGATCTTGGAGGATATGCTTCGGGCATGTGTGCTTGACCTGGGTGGTAGTTGGGAGGACCACATTTCACTCATTGAGTTTACATACAACAACAGTTATCAGGCGAGCATCGAGATGGCTCCATTTGAGGCATTGTATGGCAGACTATGTAGATCTCCAGTGCGAGACCGCTACCTTAGGACCCAACATTGTACTCGAGACTACTGAAAAGATTAAGCTAATCAGACAGAGATTGCTCATAGTTCAGAGTCGACAGAAGAGCTATGTAGATAGGCGGAGACGACCGCTATCTTTTGAGGTGGGAGACCATGTCCTTCTGCGGGTTTCTCAACGGAAGGGTTTGATGAGGTTTGGGAAGAGTGGCAAGTTGTCGGTATGATTCATTGGACTGTTTGAAATTCTGGACCGTGTAGGTGAAGTTGCCTACAGACTTGCTTTGCCACCACAGATGGACAAGGTTCACAATGTTTTTCATGTGTCGATGCTATGGAAGTATGAATCGGATCCATCTCATGTTTTGGATTGGGTTGACGTGATTGTTGATGAAGATGTCTCATATGAAGAGGGTCCAGTGCAGATCCTTGACACACGGCAAAATGTGTTGAGGGGCATAATAGTACAGTTAGTGTAATACCCCGTATTTTATTAAAGAGTTTAGTTTATTTGAATTAATTAATGTGTAAATTTCTTTACCATTCTTATATTGAGTTCATTTAATGGTGCATGTATTATTATTAATAATTTTATTTGTTGATTATGTTTAATTAAGCATTATTAGTTAATTAAAGTATTATATTTGTGTTATAAAGTATTATGATGATATAATGCATTTTTATGTAATAATAATAATAATAATAATATAATAATTATAATTATAATAGTTTATTAATAATAATAATTATAATTATAATAATAATATTTATAATAATAATAATAGTATTAAATCATAAGTCATGATGAAATTAGAGATTATGATAGGATTTCATTAATGTTTATGGGTAAGACTTGAAGCCATATGGTTAGGAATGTGGTTAGTTAAATGCAAAATTAGATATTTGTAATATTTATATTATATAAATTGTATATAAATTAGTTAGCCTACCTTAGAAGGAATGGAAGAGAGTTAGAAAAAGTTATAGCTTTCAATGAGCCATTGTAAAAGTGTAGAAAGGAAGAGAGAGAAAGAAAAGAGCTTGGACCGGTGTAGGAGAAATTTACCCGACTACGCGCAACCGGCGGATTTATTTTAAATCCAAAAAGGCAAGTTATTATCTACTTTTCCTCTTTGAATTAATAAATTAATTGCTTAGTTTATTTTTATGCATAGAGACCAGGTTAGGAGGTTAATAAATTATTAATTTTAGTTTATTAAATTAATGAAATTTTAATTATATAGGACGGTATATATTTATTTAATATCCTATGAAATTAATAATGGCTGAAAATAATTAAATAAGGCTTTAGGGATTTTTCTAGAATTTTCTAGATTTTTCCGGGGCTTTTCTGCAATTTCCGGCGACCTTCCGGCGAGTTTTCCGGTCACCGGCAATGGGGGAGACGACCGGAGTGATCCGGTGTGTTGCGGCGTACTGCAGGATGGTGTGCGCGCACATCCTGGCCATTGGGAGTGTTAGATTGATCCGGTGCATCGCGGTCCATGTTAGCGCGATACACCCAGATCAATAACCGTTGGATTAGGTGTAAGATGATAGATGGATCAGGTGTAGCGCGCCTGCAGCAAAGCACATGCAACCAACAAATCAGGATCCGCCACGTCTGCAGGAGCCTTCAACGCACGCGTGGAAGCGCGTGCGCGCGCGTGGCTGATGCCAGACGCGCGTGGAGGCGCGTGTGTGCGCGTGAGAGAGTGGAAAACATAGGGCTGCGCGTGGGGAAGCTTAGGGCGGCGCGTGGGGGCGCGTGAAGAGCCCTGTCAGCTGCTGGAAATTACCAGAATACCCCTAGGGCCTGTTTTGTAAATTCCAGAACCTTAAACTTGGATTTTTAGGTACTGTGTTGGTATTTACGGGTTTAACGAGCCACGAAATTATTATTTTAATACCCGTTACTTATTCTTATGGCCGATTAATCTTTTCTAAGCATTTATTGGCTCGTTTACAGTACGGATATTAATGTGATTTATTTAACGACATTGTTAAATATAAATAGTGTTATTATCTTATTAAATGGTATCAAACATTACTGTTAAATTAAATAATGCCATGGTTTTAGTCATATAAATTATCCATGATATCTTATGGGATGTTTATACTGTTAAATGATATATAAACCATGATTATTATGCTTTGTGCGTTTCAGGAAATAAATGGACTGTTTAATTATGTCGCATTTATATTATATGGATGTGTTGCCATATATAACCATGTGAGCTGGCTCATAAGTTTAGACTCATTTATACCTTATGCATTCGTTGCTATAGACAGATGTGTGGCTGTCGGAGTATGTGGTTTAATATTATTGGCATGTGTTGCCTAATTGACATGCTCAGTATATTTAGTAATATTATTGGCATGTGTTGCCTAATTTATATGCTCAGTATATTCATCAGTACTTTGAGAGGTGTTATCACTGTGTAGTTCGTTATAGTCTGTGTTGTCAGTACCGTGCACCATGTATAATAGCTGATTTCCCGGGTAGGGAAAGACGACACTTAACCACCTAGTGTGAGTCTAAGTGATCACCGTCTATTCTGGTTGAGGTCATATTATACATTGGGTAGTTCCTTTAGGATGTATACAGATATAGTACTCGTCCGATTCATAATGATTAATTTATTTGATTCTCTGATTTGGGTCATAGTAGAGAGGACTTGCTCGTGGGGTTGACCCACCATTGTTGTTATTTCAGGATACGGTCAGTACCCGTTCCAAGGTTAAGGTTAGCAGTGTGGGACCACCATCCGAACTCATCTACTCTTACGATCCAGTTCAGGGTAGAAGTTTTATGTATTACTTCAGTTTCAG